TAAAAACACAGTTAAACAAGCAGAAAATGTGTATGTAGGACAATAAGCAAAAAAAAAAAATACATAGTATTTGCAAAAAAAAAGGCTTATACTTAAACTGGATATAATTTACGGTATATGCAGCATAGAAAAAGCTTATTTCGTTTTATGAACAGAAAAGGTTGGGGAAAAATGGCCCAGTGAATAATAGAGAAAGTGTTAATTGATGGCGGAAAAAATATTTTTTATTCTATGAGGCAGTCAATGTATGTTTGTTTTAATCACAGATTAAGTGAGAAGTGACAAAGAGATGGAAAAAGAGGAGTATCAGCAATAAAAAAACATTTAATATATATCTAACTATCTATATATACATATATATACACACACACATATATATATGTATAGATAGATAGATAGATATATAGAGAGAGAGTTTTTTTTAATTGCTCTTCTTTTTCCCCTTTTTGGGTTAGTTTTTCTCCATGGATCTGCGAACCAAATGGCATGAAAATGTCATAATAGTGGGTATATATTTTGCCATACACCGATTGGCCAATTTTGGCTGCCTTTTGGTTTGTCTGATTGGATTTCCCAAATCTTTTTCGGCAGAAGAAATTCTTCACAAGCCGGACGACCACCAGCAAAGTGAATTGCTCCATTTCTCTTCCCCCTTATAAGGGTAGTGGGCCAAGGACATCAAACAGTACTCACTATTGAGCAACACATGTAGCAGGCAAACAGACAATGCCAGAAGAGCACACAGGGTGCCTAATCTCTTGTATGTTTGTTAGCAGAGAAAAATATTATGCCCATCCTAAAATTTAACAATGGTAAATATTATCTATTGAATAAAATATTGTTCAAAAGAGTGGGTGAGGGCACTTCAGGTTTTACTATATAACCTGTGTTTATTTTATTTTACTTTCAAGGTGCACTTACTTAAAAAAAAAGGGACTGCATTACATAAGATTCTGACACTATTTTTCAGGACTGCATATCTGCACCTTAATGTGTTAGTATATTAGCAGAACTGTTGTTTTCCGCTTTTTTATTTAATAATTATAGTTATATTGCATTTGCACATTTAAAACAGGTGAGTAAAAAAATATATATTTTTTTTTACCAAGCTTATTCATTTTTATTTTAGGATACTAGATTTTAAATGGTGGGAGATACTGGATGAGAGTTGTGGCAAGGGAGGGACGCTGTGAATATTTATAGGAATCAGAAGTAGTTATAGTGCCTGGAATCTATTGGTGCTGGACGCCACATCACTACTATCCAGTATACTCACAAATTAATAGAGATCCCTTTACCTGGCAGCCTGCAGCCTTGTCTCCCATGGTGATAAAGCAGAGCAGGAGCACGATTAGCCAACTGCTGCTCCAGTCCATAGCCACGCCAGCCTCCACCATATATACATTTATGGCTAGGCTGCGGGTGACTGAGAATATCTACTAAATGGCAAGTATATTGTTTAACAGTTGTGTGGTACCTGCCACCTAGAGACTCTAGAAACCATAGCCACTTCAACCCTTTAAAGCTTTTTATGGTGCCTACAGTGTCCCTTTAAATAAACTATTCCCATCTTCCCTACATCTTCTCCCAATCCACCAAATACAAAAAATCTATAAAACTGCATTTTAATATGCATACAAAAAACTGTGGATACACAATAGAAATATATGTAACATACCTGCTGAGATTATATATGCTGTTGTCCTTTTTGTAGTGAGAAGCCCTTGACTCTAATTTATAGTCCATCTGACTGGTGACTAAACAAGTTAATAATTATCTACTAGTATTTATTCATTCAGACTGCTCTTACAAAGAGAACAATTGCAAACACTAGAAGCTTCTAATTGTCATTATTGACTCTAGAAATACTTTGTGAGTTGGGGAGGATCTCAAAATGGTGTGTAACCCCTTAAACGGTATTTCATACCATCACAAAACTCTTATCAATAAAGCCCCTTTGGATTTTTAAATGCTGATTTGTTATGATGGCATTATTCTGTAATTGGTCCTTAATGGGTTAATATGGATAAATGTGTATGCTAAAGCCTGATTAACCACCATCAACTGCACTGATGAGTTAAACTAGGATGACAATTCACTTTATGCTTTTAATTGCATAACTCTCAACACCAGCGTCCATAGATTTGGGATGCTGTTGAGAGGGGGTGCTATGCTTGTTGGGGACATGTCACTGGTGTACCCACAAGCAGGACACCAGGGAAGCTAAGTTAGGGCGGTGGTAGAGGACCTAAAAATCAAGACCGTCCTGCCAGATTTGGGATAATTAGGAGACACATAAAGAAGAATCCCAGAGTATTTCCTTTTAAATACAATCAGGACCAATCAGGACCAGATTTACCTTTCTTGTTGCCCATGCTCCCGCACACAGCCAAAATACCAGAATATTGCAGTATGGAATTATACCCTTTTTTATTGGACGAACATAGTATTTCAAAGACAAGCTTTCAAGAGTTTTCCTCTCTTCCTCAGGTCTAAAGCAATAGTGATCAATCTGATTTAGCAGGAGTACTGAAAAGGAGCTATATAGGACAATACGATGTATGTTTATATAAAGTTATATATAAAGTTTTGGTAATGTATCAGAAAGCCAGAATATACAGAAACTCCTTCATCTCAAATGTCTTCCATTCATGAGTCTTTAAACTTCCCTTTAAGAACCTTAATCTTGAAGTGTTGGATGGAGTGATCAGTGCTCAAGTAAAGGGGAGTGGAGATTGCCACAGGAGAAGCTCCTTGCGTTTTGTAGGGCTGTGGAGGAGGTTCAGGAGACGAGGAAGGTTACTTTGCGTATCTTACAGTTCCTCATTGGCCGCCTTAACTTTGTGTGCACTTATTACGATGGGGAGGCTGCTCAGTAGGTTTCTGTCAGGAAAGAAATCCCAACAATGAGATTTTGATATGGTATTTAAAAAGAAACAAATCCTTGGTGGATAGGAAACATGGCTGTAAATACTTAGTGGGGAACAGATACAATTTAACAAAAGGAATATACTAAACAAAGTATCCAGGGATTCATCGGGATTTATTGCTCATTGCCAAAGAGAACACAAAGGATATAATTTATTCCTAATGTTAATGAAATATGGTAAATATATGGAGTTCAGTTAAATCTCTTTATTCAATGCTAACTCTCTATTTGTATTAGGTAGATAATCCTCCACCCTTATAATGAGATAAGATCAAGCTGTGAAGCTAGAAAAAAAGGGGGGAAGATTCACTAAACTTATATTACTTAGAAGTAAAAAGTACCATATGAGGGGAGCAATTATTGAGGCAAAGTGTATAATAACAGATTCGAAATAAGCAATACAGTAAACCTTATCGGATAAATAAAAGGTATCAAATCCGAAGGGGATTGGTATACCCCAAACTTGGTGGAATAATATGCTAATAAGTGAGTGGAGATAGGAGTAATCAAGATTGGAAATCAAAGGGTAAGGAGATTAGCTGTTAAAAAAAGTGCATAATAATCTCTCTAAAATGGTCTTATAAATAATATCTGATGAGCTGTATATATGTAAATAAAGAAACGATTTGTTATTAGATAAGGGAGAAGAAACTCAATTTGTAATGAGCCTATCTGTTGTACAAAATAGTCAAATCTAACTCTTTATCTACGACCGATAAAACATGCCCCAATCTTCTAATCTCCTTAAACTACACGTTCATGGGTGTTGAAATTACTTATAACTAGCTCTCACCTAAAGTAGCCTCATGCCTTCCTCTTAGACCCCACTAAACCATAATTTCAAAAAATTAGCTGTTTTGTGAATAAGTTCATAGTGCAAAAAAAATAAAAGTGAGATAGAAACCCGACATGTGTTTCAGTGCTTTAGTGGCACCTTCATCAGGGTATATCCTTCAAACTGCAAATTCCTGGGTTTAAAAGGGGGACCCAGTCCCTCCTAGTCATGCAACCACCTATCACATCCAAGCATCTGCTCCTCAGACTTGTCGTCACTAATGGGGGTGGACCTGGAACATCCTTCATTTTCCCGACCTTAGTGGGTGGGTTAACTCCACGCCCACCTCAAACCGGGGTTTCGTCCTGTTCTCAAAGTTCCATCTAAGCCAATATTTCCTATGGCGAGTATGACAGGAGTGGTAGTCCAGTAAATTTTATAACATGACAGGAGGCTTCGTATTTGCTTAAGTCTCTCTTTACTAGAACTCCACAGAAGCACAGAAAAACAACCAATCAGAAAAAAGTTAGGTACTATAAAACTCCCCTCCCCATGCATCATTCCCTCTTTCTTTGCTGCTCTGCAGTCAGTACAGGTCAGAGTACCACTGCCTCCTGCTTATAGTGGGTGGCTTTGGGATTCTATTGCTTATATTCAGTATTTTAGCCTTATAAATGCAGTATTGTTATAATCCATGTGGGATTTTATTTTTATAATGCAGTACTGTTAGAATCCTTGTGGGATTTTATTCTTATAATGCAGTATTGTTATAATCCATGTGGGATTTTATTTTATAATGCAGTATTGTTATAATCCATGTGGGATTTTATTTTTATAATGTAGTACTGTTAGAATCCTTGTGGGATTTTATTCTTATAATGCAGTTTTGTTATAATCCTTGTAGGATTTTATTTTTATAATACAATATTGTTATGTTCCTTGTGGGAATTTTTTCTTCATATTCAGTATTTTATTTTCCCTTGTGGGATTTTTATGCTTATATATTGAATATCTTTTCAGAATGTTTTATTTAGGCCTTGTTGGATTCATTTTATATGCAGTATTTCCTTGGTCCATGTGTAAATTTTCCTTACACATGCAGTTTTGTTAAAACCCCTTTGGGACTTTATTTTTACTTGTAACTTAAGGCTATCACTGTTATATACATATTTAGTTTGGATTTCTGGGGGGTCTTTGGTGTCTTCCTGTCTCATCTATCCCCTTGGCTTTGTCCCCCCTGTCCGTCTCCCAACTTTGTGTATGCTCGTTGTTATATTTTTTGTTCCGCCTTGGTCCTTATGTCTGGCAGTGTCGGTGTGCGCTGTTTGGGGGCTTCAGGAGGCTGACTGCATCTGCCTCCTTCAATCCCCGAGCTCCGGGAACGCAGAGTTCATCTTCGGCGGTCCTTTGTGTGTTTTTTCCGGTCGCAGGGGAGCTCGAGACTAGCACCCGGCGGCCGGATCTCCTTTTCCACGTGGCCGCTTTGCTGCGGCCGCCTCCGCCCGCGGACCGCATGTGTCCGACCGGGCGGTGGAGGTGGGACCGCTCGCAACCCCTCCCCCGTCTGTTCCTAACTGGTTGGAGGTCTGTTTGAGGGGCGTTCCTCCCCTCTGTCAATCAAGGCCGGATTCCGATCACGGCCGGAGTTTTTTATATCAGATGAGTTCCCTTCAGCCTGCTCATGGTTAATCTATAACCCAAGATGACTCCACATTTATATAATTTTATAAATTTATATAAATATTTTGTTGGGCTGGAGAATAGGCTTTAGGCAGTATACCCTGTACTGCTCTGAGATGCCTGCAGTTTGGTTTTCTGCCTTTGGCCAAACATTAAAGTCTACCAGTTCCCTGTGTAGTGGTATAGCACTTCATCACTAGTAGCTGTAACATCTGTGATATTAGACTGGAGACATTATAGCAACTTAATCCAGAGGTATTATGTAAAAATACTGTTATAATCACATTACTACCCTGCTAGTGGGTTTTACATATTGAAATTATTTAACCCAAGGTTTCCCTGTTTCATTACGCATATATATATATATATATATATATATATATATAGTGGACTCTACACACGCAGATGGGCCCTACGGCTGTCGGAAGGCTATCACGGGCTGAAGACAGTTGCAGTAGAGGCCTGGCAGAACATCACCAGGGATGAAACCCAGCGTCTGGTGATGTCTATGCGTTCCAGACTTCAGGCTGTAATTGACTGCAAAGGATTTGCAACAATGTTTTAAAAAGTGAAAGTTTGATTTATGACTGTTAATCTGTCCCATTACTTTTGGTGCCTTAAAAAGTGGGAGGCACATATACAAACTGTTGTAATTCCTACACTGTTCACCTGATTTGGCTGTAAATACCCTCAAATTAAAGCTGAAAGTCTGCAGTTAAAGCACATCTTGTTTGTTTCATTTCAAACCCATTGTGTTGGTGTACAGAGCCAAAAAGATTAGAATTGTGTCGATGTCCCAATGTTTATGGACCTGAATGTACCTCTCCCTATACAACCAAGCATTCTGCTAGCATTTCCTACTGCTCTATTACATTGTTTTCCTACCTTTAAGTCATCCGAAATTACTACGCCTAGATCCTTTTCCACCAATGTTGAGGTTAGGACTGTTTCAAATATTCTATACTCTGCCATTGGGTTTTCACGTCCAAGATGCATTATCTTGCACTTATCCACATTAAATATCAGTTGCCTCAGCTCTGACCATTTTTCTAGTTTACCTAAATCATTTGCCATTTGGCTTATCCCTCCATTCAGATTATTAAAATACGAATAAAACTAAATGGAAATTTGCTGCCAAAATTAACACTGCAAACAAGTGGTTTCCTGATAATGTTGTTCCCAGCAATCTGAAATTTTGTAAAGATCAGGATTTTTAACAGAAACTGGAGAATCAATAAAGAGGCAAAAAGCTAACAAATGAACAGATTTCTCAATTGTCATTTGCAATGCAAATAAATCGCTCAGCTGATGTTTTCCTAAAAATTCCAAAATTTTCTGCTCTCATGTAACTTGCAAAGAATTATTGTAAATGTAGTCCAACAACATAAAAGTAGCTATTGTACAACATCCCTTCCTGTTCAGTAGTTTTGGAGTCTTCTATATCAAGAGTTCTAAGAATGTAAAAATCACCACTAGTGGTGACTATAGACTTTGTGAGGCCTTAGGAAAAACTCAAACATGAGGCCCCCACTAGCTCCCATATTGAAAATAAATAAGGATTATATTGTAAGTGTATAAGGAGCTGCTCTTTGTATTCATCGTTCAGAGGTTTCCAGTGTTGCGGCTCCCTATACTGCTGTGTTGTGAGCTCTCTATGACAGAACTGAGTTCTGCCACTATGCAGAGACATTTTTGTCTCAATTAAGAGCTGAATACCTACTCCCAGGTTTCCCCCTGCCTTTGACCATGCACAGCCTCAATGAGCGCCCTCACTCCAACCCACCCAGTGACCGAGCCTCGCAGGGAAATCCACGAACATCCTAGCGGTCACTCTGTTCTGGAACTCTCTGTTGGATCAGAAGTATTTACCGGGTGGCAATTTAACACAGTGAATGCGACAAGAGCTCTCTTTTAACCAAAGGAGGCTAAGGGGGAGGGGTGAGGAAGCTCTCCAGGGATATAAGAGAGGGTTATTTTTGTTATTTCATGTGTTTTGGGGGTGTTTTGTAACCTGATGTCTGGGGAATAATTAACTTAGTTACTGATCTTGTTATCTCCCAGACTCAAGCCATGGACACATGTTGGGTTTGTGTACATAAAAGTGTACCTTGTTCACAATAAAGTAGTTCTTATTCACACTTCACTAAATTTCGACTAGCGTATGGGTGAGATATAACAGCTATAATCACTCTAGGTATCCAGCGCGGAAAAAGAGAAGGACTTGACAGAGACACTCACACTGAGTGCTGAGCTCCATCACACTCTCTTACTATAGTTATGGCATATTTTGAAAACTAAATTAATTTGAAATAAACAAATGTAATTTGCAATTATACTAATGTATCGTTTATACATGATTGCGGGGTATGGTTGCATAGCCTCGCAGTCATGTATACATAAGTGCCGGGTGAAGGGGTTATTGCAAACAGAAATTAAAATTTTGATTTGGGCAAAAAAAGCCTTTAAAAAAACAATTTACCAGATAATAAAGTCACAGATGAGAACATTGTGTCATAGACATTTTCCCTACTATAATCCTTATATATATATATATATATATATATATACACACAGTTGCAAGAAAAAGTTCCACAGAATAGGTGCAGCCCTGGAGAAGTCTTGAAGGCGAGCATCACAGGTGGGGATCCGGGCAGAGGATAGGAGTAGGTCTTGGGCTGAGCGCAGGGGTCTCGTCGGGACATACTTGTGTATGAGGGAGGATAGGTATGTTGGAGCAGCATTATGTAGGGATTTGTAAGCAAGCGCCAGAATTTTGAATTGGGCCCTATATCTAACTGGAAGCCAATGCAGGGACTGACAGAGCGTGGAGGCGTGGGAGGTGCGACCGGACAGGAAAATAAGCCTCGCAGCCGTATTCATTATAGATTGCAGCGGTGCAAGCTGGGAACATGTAAGACCGGTGAGAAGGGGATTGCAAAATCCAAAGCTTCACGTTTTCCACCTGCACTGTGAATGTTTACATGGTGTGTTCAATAAAAACATTGCAACATTTCATTCTTTGTGTGTTATTAGTTTAAGCAGACTGTGATTGTCTATTGTTGTGACTTAGATGATGATCAGATCACATATTATGACCAATTTTTGCAGAAATCCATATCATTCCAAAGGGTTCACATACTTTTTCTTGCAACTGTATATGTTTTTCTAGGGTTTATTTTCTGCACTGTCTTTCATATGTCAGTTTTTTTTCTATGAGTATATGTATTTTATTTTGATGATGAGAGGAATTTTTGTCTTTAGAAATTTACTTTTACAATAAATATCTGATGGTACGATTAACATTTTTCTAATGTTATGAAAACTTTTCTATAATGGAGATCAATATGTTCCGGGATCAAAGTTAAGCTAGATAAGCAAATGGGTTTTGAACATTAGCCAATGACAAACAAGATATTACGGACGGAACAAGCACACACCCATACAGTGTGGACTTATAAGTTGGATGTAAATTTCTCAGTTTTAATATTTTACACATAACATTATTACACTATATATTTTCTCTCCCCTTTTATTTTATACATGTGAACGGACATCAAATTACCTTTTTTGAATGGTCTGAGGAGAATATAATGTTGTAAATTTTCAATTTGACAATTTTTATTTTTATTAAGAATTGTAAGGGGGGTACAGAAAGGAAAAAGGGTGGGGGAAGCAAAATCAGTTTTTGTTTTGTTCCATTAAATTTTCCAAGTAAATCTTACATACATACATTACGCTTTTCATAGACATTAAATGTGGCTTAGATTTGGGGCTGGTAGATATGCTCTTGTCTTGGGTTGTTAAAATGGGTGGTTCTTATGTCTGGGGTTGTGAGGGTTTACCCTCTGTCGTGTTCTGCTAGTGTGTTTCCTTTGTCTGCTTAGGGTACCTTGCTTAATTTTGTTACTAGATGGTTGTTACTGCTTGAGTATGTGACTTTTAGTGCTGCTCCTTTTACTCCTGCCTTACTAGTTATTGGAAAATAGAGAATGGAGTCAGCGCTTATATATCGGAAAAAGATACAAGGGGCAGCAATCCCAAACAAGGACTCCCTCAAGTAACCTTGGAATAAATACAAAAAACAATCAAATAGAAGGATGGGACTGCGCCAATAAACAGAAATGAAAAGTCCTTATTAGAATATGGAATTGAAGTCCAGTGTAATAAAAAAAAACTTGGTATTATGTTCGTCTCTATAGTTGTGGAATTTTGTTCCTTCCTGGTATATGGAGGAGGGTGATGGATGATGAGATGGTGTGGAGTGATCCAACGGGTATCCAAATAAAAAAGAAGAAATAATACTCACTTTTAGTAGAGCTTAATCCAGCTCTGGTGTGGATAGCTTGCAGCGGTATTATCCCCGCTTATAGGATATACAGTGAGCTTCCTCTTCAGTATGATGACCGGCAACCAGGAAGAAGATAAAACGAAAAAGCAATAATAGTGCAATATGTCCCAAAAAGTGGATAAAAAGGTATAAAAATATAAAAGATACACTCACATTTAATAGAGCTTATACTAGCTCTAGTGTAGTAGACATGCAACGGTATGATCCCCCGTATCTGGGATATGCGGTGAGCGGTCATTAGTACAGTTCTTTAAGGTGATAACAGGAGCTCAGGGAGAAGATAATAAAACAGCAATAGTGCTCTCAGTAAAAAAATGCTGAATAATAAAATAAAATAAAATATACTCACAATATATAGGGCAGACTAACTGCTCTATGGTATAGGCGCGGGTGGTATGATCCCCACCTCAGGATTCTTTGGAGTATGGACGACAATAGATAAAAAAGCCAGGTATTTAAAAATAAAAATTAAAATAAATAAAAGATAGTGGTACAAGAGAATAAAGTGACCAAAAATCTATTTATTAACAGTAATTAAAAAATATAATAGTATAGTATCCAAACGCGTTTCACCAATATAGGCTTTATCAATGGATTAAAAAAATTTTTTTAATCCATTGATAAAGCCTATATTGGTGAAACGCGTTTGGATACTATACTATTATATTTTTTAATTACTGTTAATAAATAGATTTTTGGTCACTTTATTCTCTTGTACCACTATCTTTTATTTATTTTAATTTTATTTTTAAATACCTGGCTTTTTTATCTATTGTCGTCCATACTCCAAAGAATCCTGAGGTGGGGATCATACCACCCGCGCCTATACCATAGAGCAGTTAGTCTGCCCTATATATTGTGAGTATATTTTATTTTATTTTATTATTCAGCATTTTTTTACTGAGAGCACTATTGCTGTTTTATTATCTTCTCCCTGACTCCTGTTATCACCTTAAAGAACTGTACTAACGACCGCTCACCGCATATCCCAGATACGGGGGATCATACCGTTGCATGTCTACTACACTAGAGCTAGTATAAGCTCTATTAAATGTGAGTGTATCTTTTATATTTTTATACCTTTTTATCCACTTTTTGGGACATATTGCACTATTATTGCTTTTTCGTTTTATCTTCTTCCTGGTTGCCGGTCATCATACTGAAGAGGAAGCTCACTGTATATCCTATAAGCGGGGATAATACCGCTGCAAGCTATCCACACCAGAGCTGGATTAAGCTCTACTAAAAGTGAGTATTATCTCTTCTTTTTTATTTGGATACCCGTTGGATCACTCCACACCATCTCATCATCCATCACCCTCCTCCATATACCAGGAAGGAACAAAATTCCACAACTATAGAGACGAACATAATACCAAGTTTTTTTTTATTACACTGGACTTCAATTCCATATTCTAATAAGGACTTTTCATTTCTGTTTATTGGCGCAGTCCCATCCTTCTATTTGATTGTTTTCTTACTAGTTATTGGTGTGTTTTTACTTCCTTGTCTCTCGTGTCTGATGTTCCTTTAACCGTTGTGTGGTTGTGAGTGTAGTGGTTCTGTATGGTGTCTGTTTGACGAATGTATATTTGATTTTACTGTTTCGTATTCTGTGCCTGTGGTGTAGTGGTGGTTGTAATTTTTGGTTTGGGGTGTCATTTGATTCACTATTTTAATTCGGTTTGGTTCTTCTGTACTTTGGTCCAGTATTCCTTTCACATCAGGTTTGCTTTGGTAATGATTTTCTTTTTTCCGTACTGGTTCATGTACATAGTTTCGTATTGCCAGTTGGTGTTGATTTGGTTGATGAGGCTATTGATTTGTGGTTGGGTTGTCGTCTTCCAAAGCCTAGCTCTCACCATTGCTGCTGATATGAGTACGTGGTATGTGGTTGCCCATTGTACTTTATTCATGTGTTCCGGAGGTATGAACAGTATGCACATTTCTACATTGATCGTTGTTTCAGTTCTTAAAACTTGTTCTATGATGTCCTGGACTTTTTTCCAGAAGGGCTGTAAAATTGGGCATGTTCACCAGGTGTGAAGCATTGTTCCCACCTGTTTATTGCATCTCCAGCATGTGTTTGTGGAGGTGTTTGGCCATATTCTGTGTATTTTATCTGGAACTAGGTACCAACGATATAGTAACTTCCTTTCTAGTTCCAAATGGTTCGTGCATGAGGTAACGCCTTTGTGAGATTTGTACGCTTCCAGCCATTGTTTTTCTTCAATGGTGCGATTTAGTTCTCTGTGCCATGCTTGTTTATAATTGTTTTTGTCTTTTGGTTTGCTTGAGGTCAGACGTCGGTAGCATATTGAGATCACTTTTCGTGGTGGTGCTGTGTTCATGCATATTTTGTCAAAGTGAGACAATATGTTTGGTGGATATTCGTTGTGGGTGGTTTGTTTCAATGATTTGATTTGTAGGTAGGGGAATAGCATTCGGTTTGGTAGGTGGTATTTATTTTGCAACTTCGGGAATGTTAACAGTGCTCCTTCTTCGTAAAGTTGTGCGATATATTTCACGCCATGTGTTAGCCATGGTTCTTTGTCTAATGTGGGGATTATTTTCGCTAGTGCGACTATGGGGGTAGCAAACGGGATTGGTTGGTAGTTTGTCATTTCGTGTTTGAGCAAGTCCCAAATGTCTAGCAAGAATTGGGTCGTAGGCAATAATTGGAGTGTTTGTGGTCTCCATTTTATCGGGGTCCAGAAATAGGTTTGCAGCTCTGTTGGGGTTGCCCAATGTGCTTCTATCGATGTCCATTGGGGTTGGTTGGTCGTTGACGTTTTTGTGAGACAGTGTTGAGAATAGCTGCCTGCCAGTAGGACTTCGGTGAGGAAGTTTTTAGGTAGCGGAATCTGTAAGGTTTTGAATAGGTACTGCAGCTTGGGCAAGAGTGTCATCTTTAGGGCTGCTATACGGCCTATCCATTATATGAATTTCCCCTCCCATTCCTGTAGCGTTGATTTGATGGTTGAGAGCGTGTGTCTGTGGTTGGCTTTGAACAGGCCGGACGGATTTTTTGTGCTTTTAAGGCTTAAGAAAGTTAGAAAGTCTGTGCGCCAGTCTAGTGGGAAATTTTCTTGGAGTCTTTTCAGCTGTGGCCTTGCGTTTTCTTGATTTAGTTTAGTTTATAGTATGAGTACTTCCCGTACAATTCTGTTTCATGAGGTTGGGCATTGAAATGTGCGGCTCCGTTATTGTGAGGAAAATATCATCTGCGAAGAGACCTAATTTGTACTCTTTACTGCCCAGCTTGACACCTTTAATTGAGATTTCGTTTCTTATTTTGCTGGCTAGTGGTTCTAGCGCTAGGACATACAACAGAGGTGAGAGCGGGCAGCTTTGTCTTGTTCCGTTTGTTATTTTGAAGGTGTCCGAGCAGAAACCTGCGGTTACGACCTTGGCTGTGGGGTGGCTGTATAGGGCTTGGATTGTTCTAAGAAATTGTTCGGGGAAATTGAATTTCTGGAGAACCTCTCGGAGAAACGACCAGCTGAGAAGGTCAAAGACCTTCTCTGCATCCAGTGATACTAGAAGGCTTTCTTTTCCCATCCTTCGTATGCTATTCACTAGGTCTAATACTTTACGTGTGTTATCTGATCCTTGCCTTCCTGCCACAAAGCCCACTTTGTCATTATGTATCAAGGATGGTAGTATCTTGCTTAATCTTTGTGCCTGCACTTTGGCGTACAATTTGGCGTCTGTATTCAAGAGCGATATTGGGAGGAAGTTAGGGCAGTGTGTTGGTGGTTTGCCCGGTTTGGGGAGCGTGATGAAATGCGCCATTAGTAGTTCTTGGGGCAAGGTCCCGGATTGTGTGGCCTGGTTAAATAGTTGTGCTAGGTGGGGTGCTAGGATTTTGCGGAATGTTTGATAGTATAAGTTGGAGAAGCCATCTGGGCCTGGAGCTTTATTTTTTGGTAGTCATTTAATTGTTTCTTCTATTTCATCCGCTGTAATAGGTGCTATTAAGTCTGTTATTTGGGTGTCTGATAATGATGGCATTTGGATGTCTTCCAGATACGTGCGGATGTCCATGCTATTCTGTTCGTCTGTGCATTCCGCTTGTTTCAAGTTATACAGTGCTTGGTAGTATGAGGCGAAGGCTTTACTTATGTCTACTGGTGATATGGCTTTCGTGTTGTTGTGGTCTATTATGTACTCTATTCTGTTTTTTGTTTCTTTGCGTTTGAGCCTAGACGTGAACATTTTACTAGCTTTGTTGCCTTGTGTGTACGGTTGCATGTTGAGTTTTCTCAAATTAAAATTCACTCTTTGTAGTGTGTGCTCTCTAAGTTTGTCCTGTAAGCAGGGCCGGATTAACATAGGGGCTGATGGAGCTGCAGCTCCAGGCCCAGGCCCATGGAATAGGACCCTTGATTTTTTTTTTACATTTTTTTTTTTTTTTTACACACTACTCTTAGGGATTTCACCTGGCTTTTATTTTATTGGCACAGCCAGTATTTGAGGCTGCCTGGCTGGTGCCAATTGCAGTGATACTGGCAATACAAATGCTGGTATTTTTCTCAGTATAAACAAGAGATTACTATGCAATACCAGCACTGGCCAGTAGGGGTCGCTGTGTGTGTGGAGACAGGCAGGGATAGGAAGTTCCAGCATATCCCTCCCTGCCTATCTATACTCACTGATCTGCAGGGGTGCAGCTACAGAGAGTCCAGACAGCAACTCCCACCCTGCAGAGACAGCCTACAGCTCAGGGAAGTAAGGGATGGGGGAAAGGCTGCGAGGAGACATACACTGAGACACTAAGGGACACTGGGAGACATTATGGCAGACACTGAGACACTAAGGGACATTGGGAGACATTATGGCAGACAATGAGACACTAAGGGACATTGGGAGACATTATGGCAGACACTGAGACACCAAGGGGCACTGGGAGACATTATGGCAGACACTGAGACACCAAGGGGCACTGGGAGACATTATGGCAGACAATGAGACACTAAGGGACATTGGGAGATATTATTGCACACAATGAGACACTAAGGGACACTGGGAGACATTATGGCAGACACTGAGACACTAAGGGGCACTGGGAGACATTATGGCAGACACTGAGACACTAAGGGGCATTGGGAGACATTATGGCAGACACTGAGACACTAAGGGACATTGGGAGACATTATGGCAGACACTGAGACACTAAGGGGCACTGGGAGACATTATGGCAGACACTGAGACACTAAGGGGCATTGGGAGACATTATGGCAGACACTGAGACACTAAGGGACATTGGGAGACATTATGGCAGACACTGAGACACTAAGGGACACTGAGAGACATTATGGCAGACACTGAGACACTAAGGGGCACTGGTAGACATTATGGCAGACACTGAGACACTAAGGGGCACTGGGGGATATTATGGCAGACACTGAGACACTAAGGGGCATTGGGAGATATTATGACACAGACACATGGGGACACAGTGTCCCCATGTCTCCCAGCCAGTGTCCCTGGTGTCTCAGTGCCCCCTTGTCTCCCAGTGATCCCAAGTCTCCCAGCCTGCCAGTGTCTCACTGTCCCCATGTCTCCTAGTGCCTCCTTGTCTCTCATTGCCTAAAGTGTCACAATATCCCCATGTCTCCAAGCTAGTGTCCCTGGTGTCTGTGGCCCTGGTGTCTCAGTGTCCCCATGTCTCAATGTCCCCCAGCCAGTGTCTCTAGTGTCTGTGTCCCTGGTGTCTGTGTCCCCATGTCTTCAAGTGTCCCTTATTTTCCCATTGTCCCCATGTGTCCCAGCCAGAGTCCCCTAGTCTCCCAGTGTCACTTGTGTCTCCGTGTCCCTAGGTCTCCCCATGTCCCCAGGTCTTCCTAGTGTCCTAGTGACATGGGACCCTGGGATACATGGGGACACAGGGAGACATGGGGCATTGAGACACTGTGATACATAGGATCACTGGGAGACCTGGGGACACGACACTAGGGGACACTGGGAGACATGGGGCACTGAGACACTGATACATATGGACAAATGGGGGCACTGAGTCATGGGGGCAGTGGGGGCACTGGGAGGAATCCATCTATACAGCAGAATCAAACTAATAGTTTTTTTGGTGATTTTACAGCATTTTTCTTATGTCACTCCTTTTTTTTCCAAGAAAGGTGGCAACCCTAACTACTTTTCACATACTCTTACTTAAGTATGGAAACTTAAGTAGGATGTATGGGAACAAAACTTGTGTGGACTAGCTGACAATGAATATAGTTAAAGGGACACTATAGTCACCAGAACAACTACAGCTTATTGAATTTGTTCTGGTGAGTAGAATCATTACCGTCAGGCTTTTTGCTGTAAACACTGTCTTTTCAGAGAAAATGCAGTCTTTACATTACATCCTAGTGATAACTTCACTGGCCACTCCTCAGATGGCTGTTAGAGATCCTTCCTGGGTCATGGCTGCCTAAAATGCATCCAAACATTCAGAGTCTCCACCCTCTGCATGCAGACACTGAACTTTCCTCATAGAGATTCATTGATTCAATTCATCTCTATGAGGAGATGCTGATTGGCCAGGGCTGTGTTTGAATCATGCTGGCTCTGACCCTGATCTGCCTCTTTGTCAGTCTCAGCCAATCCTATGGGGAAGCACTGTGATTGGATCAGGCCACCACTTCTAATGATGTCAGCAGACTGCTTGTTTTATGAGTCTAACAGCATGCAGAGTTACAGCTTCGGGCTTGAATATAGTAAGATTTTGCTATATTTATGGAGACATGAGGGGCCCAGGGGGGCTAGATGGTGGTGTTAACACTATAGGGTCATGAATTCATGTTTGTGTTCCTGACCCTATAGTGATCCTTTAAGGTAATGCTGACTTTGGTCTCTCTAACACTGTGGCATGTTCCCTTTCTTCTAAACTCACTACATACAGCTTTTCTCTGTCCTAGACCATATACCAGGAGTTTCTCCCTGCTAGTAAGAAGGTAAGGAGACAAGTGGACTAGCGAGTGCTAGGGGACAGTCCTTAGAAAGCATTGAGTGAGCGCATCATTAGATGCATTTATGCCAAGCTCAGGGTGCTGTCTGCATAGTATGCCCTTAGTTGGCCAGCTGCATGATTGGCAGGCAGCCTGACATGCATTCATGCCAGGCTGGCCTTCTAATTCTTTGAGCAGACATGTCCTCTTTTTGGGCATGTTCGCCCCTTTTGGCAGGTTACGTGATTTGTGTCAGTGGCACACCCTTTTACCATGCCCATTGACTTCCTGCCTGACTGGACACTGCTGTTAGGGGTTATGGATTTACTTGAAAGATGAAAACATAAATTAGAGAGAGATTAGCCTTTTCTTATAGCTGCTGTTTAATTTCTCTCCAGCACCATCTCCATCAGATACATGATGCTTGGGAGTGTTTTACTGTTTTTGGTCGATATGATTCTGTAATTAGGCCCGTCATAATTGTCAGCACCAGGCCCACGTGGCTCTTAATCTGGCCCTGCCTGTAAGTCTTTAATTGTGGTTTGTAATGCGTCAGTTGGTTGTGTTTTATGTTGTTTGGTTGCCTCTTGCAATTGTTTGTTCCAGTTGATTTCGAAATATTGTGTGATTTCTACTGATAGGGAATCTGTGAATGACTTATCGTTTAGTACGGATTCGTTTAGTCTCCATGGGCTTTTGTTTTTGTACTCATTTTTGTCTTTGATCGTCAATGTCACTGCTGCGTGGTCTGACCAGCTGATTGTGTGTATATTGCTGTCTGCTAGTTGGTCTAGGTCAGTGATGGCGAACCTATGG